TAATAATAGTAAATAATAATTATTGAAGCAGCTGTTGTCCGTGTTTTCTATTTCATTTTTCTCTATAAATAAATAAATAAATAAATAATGTCATAATAAATAAATAAACTAACCCTTCCTTTCTTTGGATTTTCAAATCCTTCTTCAGTCTTAGCCAGTTTGTCCCTTAGCTCACACAAATGATCAGACATAGCACTCAACTGTCCTTCATAACCACTTGATAAAGTAGTCATTTGATCCTAACAAATACAAGACAGGTATAATAAGCATGACAATGATATTGGTGGGGAATACTACTGTACATGTAGACAATCTAAGTTAGAATTAAATACATTGGTTTCCCGCAAAGCATGAGCGAGCTAAAAAGCATGTTGCTTGTGAACCATAAAAGCATGTTTAAGTGAGCTAAAAGGCATGTTTCATGAGCTGACAGTCTGACACGCACTACAATGGTACATGTACATGGCTTTGGGGTATAGGCAGTGCAGGCCTAGGCATTGGGGGTCATTGCCTAGGTTAAAGAATAGATTGGAAGCAGAAACAATGCTATTTTAAGCCTATTTAACCCTTTACCACACCCCTTTCATTAGAATTGCCTAGGCTGAGTTGGACTTCTGAAGCCACCAAAGTTTTGGGACGACTTAAAAATTTATTAAAAAATCAATTTTGATCGAACTTGCTACACAATGTATGTAACAGATTCATTATTAAAATAGAGAGTTTTCTTTTACCCGTTTTTGGCAAACGCAAGCACTTAAATGTAATAGAAGTACCAGCTCAAGCACAATCCCTAGCTTTAACATAAGTGCTTGAGTACAGGAACAAGCATTCTCTACTGTACATGTACATGCACTTATTCATTTAATCTACTATTGCATCTAATAAACACTAACTCTGTGAATTGTTTATAATAAATGAAAACAGCAGAGAGCTTTGGAGCGATACCACTAACGGTTCTGCCATTACTGTTCTTCAAGCAAGCAACACATAATCACACAATGTGCTACTAAACTGTTACCGTATAGCGGGTTTCTTTCGTTCGGCCAAACTTTCGTTTTCTAGGAGAAAATCCAATTTCGTGGGTTTCATTTTCGTCCTTCTGATCTGCAAGAATTAAGCCACACCCAACAACCCCACCCATAACACCCACGTGTGCATGTGTTAGTGTTAACCCGACGAAGATGAGCTCTGGATCGAGCTCTCCCACAGCAAATTTCATAGGCTTAATTTTCGCTTTTGGAGCTTGGAGAACGAAAAGAATGAAAGTTTGACCGAACGGAAGAAACCCAGTATACGATACTACAATTTATTGGACTGTGTAACCACTACATGTACATGTACATCTACAAGTAGATGTACGTGTAGATGTAGTAGATGTACATGTAGATGTACATGTACATTATTCATGTGTAATTTTTGCTGTGCTTGAAAGCACTTTTGTAAATTTGTATAAGTAATAAAGTACAAGTAGGTACAAAGAACATAGATTACATGTATATTGAAAAGCAGGACTAAGAACTTTGAAAGCTGTGCTTATTTGTACTTAAGTACAAGCAACAATTAAGTACTTGACCCCATGTCTGATCTGCATTAGCATAATTTACTGATTCAATATAAATTACAAAATGCATCACAGTTTTTAATTTTGATCAAAATCAGCTCAAACTCAAACATGCTACACAAAATATATATGTACCAGGAAAAATTTTTAACATAAAGATTTCTCTACAACCCATTTTTGGCAAAACTTCTCCAATAACCACTGTATTATTGGCCTCGCCCAGCTTTGCGTAGGCGAGGACTAGGTACTCGGTTTGTCTGTCTGTCATTCATTCTGTGTGCTATATTTTGTCTTTGAGAATGTATATCTTTACAATCGCGTGCTCTAAATCTGTGAGAGCTTCTCTTCTGTTAGGAAAAGTCTTGCTTTACTGCCTCGAGATGTTTAGAGAGCAGCTCTAGGTAGCACAAACTTTTTAACTCACGAGAAAATGCCCAGCAATAGCGGTAGTATTCTGGAGGTAAATGAGACTTTCCCAGTAGATCAAGACTAGTTATTCATTTAATTTGTGTGGAACTCTTTAAATCTTTCTTGTTGGTGAGTTATAGCTACTCGAATTTCATCCCGAGTGAAGTGCTATCAGGGGCGGATCTGAACCTGGGCAAGCCCGGGTTTTTGCCCAGGCATCAACTTTATAAGATAATGAGATTCATAATTAGATAATGAAATTCATATGCATCATCTTAAATAAACTTGTGGGTGTGCTTATTATGGCTTCTTTAATCTTTGGTTATTTAAATAAATTCATTATAAAACCACATAAGATGTGCACTGAAAAAAAGGACAATGAGTAAGCAGCTGTCTCTTCTTAACTACAATTTTAAAGGGGCCCCAACTATCTTCTCATCCACAAAGCAGTGGAACAGTACAGGTAGAAGTGGAGATAAGAACAGATTTGAAAACGGAGATAAGAACAGATCAATCATTTTGTCTTAATTCATTATAATTATTATAAAAGTTAATTACAAGTTATTAATAGTTAATAACTACTTATTGAAAGTTATAAATGCCCCACCTACTTCTTTGCCCTACCATGAAACTTGACCCAGATCCGCCCCTGAGTGCTATAGCAGTTAGTTCACTAATCTAAGGATCCTAAACTCTCTCAAGTCACTCAATCTATCTAGGCAACAGTATTTGTGCCATTATAACATCATATAGCACTTAGAAGAAGAGAAAAATACCTGAAGCTTCCCTCTCACATGGTCTTGCTGCATAATTGATAATAATGCCACGCCTCCAACAGACCAAGCTGGGAGTTGGCTCTGGAGCTTGCCACTTCTGCAAGCATGCAAGAGCAAGTGTAACTGTAGCTAGGAAGCTAGCTGTTATGATAATCCCTTGGCCTCAAGAGCACACTTTCTAATTTTTTGCGTAGTATATTTTTGATAGTCTAGTGGCCACAACAAAAGTTGTGGTTTTGAAAGTAACCCATGATGTATGAGTGCAATAAGTATAAATATAGTATACTGGCTTAGGCTAGCTAAGCCGAACACTTCCCAAACAGCTTTAGGGGCGAGGCCACGCACCTTTGGTGTCTCGTAGTACAGGGACTTTGGCATGGTACTTTTAACAATCAATTTTAATCAGAATCAGCTCAAAATTTTTATGCAGCTAGCACATGAACATGTACAGCATGTATAAGAAAAATATAAAATAAAATTTTCTCATAGGGATTTTTGAAGAATCTGCATTAGCATAATTTACTGATTCAATATACATACATGTATAAATATTAAGCAACACATAATCACACAATTATTAATTATTAAGATAATTAATAATAATTAATAATTAATGATAATTATTAAGCAACACATAATCACACAATGTGCTACTAAACTGTTACCGTATAGTGGGTTTCTTTCGTTTGGCCAAACTTTCGTTTTCTAGGAGGAAATCCAATTTCGTGGGTTTCATTTTCGTCCTTCTGATCTGCAAGAATTAAGCCACACCCAACAACCCCAACCATAACACCCACGTGTGCATGTGTTAGTGTTAACCCGATGAAGATGAACTCCGGATCGAGCTCTCCCACAGTAAATTTCGTGGGTTTAATTTTCGCTTTTGGAGCTTGGAGAACGAAAAGAACGAAAGTTTGACCGAACGGAAGAAACCCAGTATACGATACTACAATTTATTGGACTGTGTAACCACTACATGTACATGTACATCTACATGTAGATGTACATGTAGATGTAGTAGATGTACATGTAGATGTACATGTACATGTATATGTACATGTACATGTACATGTATATGTACATTATTCATGTGTAATTTTCGCTGGGCTTGAAAGCACTTTTGTAAATTTGTATAAGTAATAAAGTACATGTACATGTAGGTGCAAAGCACATAGATATTGAAAAGCAGGACTAAGAACTTCGAAAGCTGTGCTTATTTGTGGTTAAGTACAAGCACCAATTAAGTACTTGACCCCATGTCTGATCTACATTAGCATAATTTACTGATTCAATATAAATTACAAAATACATCACAGTTGTTACCAAAATAGGCTGTGTGATAATTATTACATTCTCTGATACACATCAAAGCCATAATAAAGAAAGTTTGAGTCAAGTTAATAAACTGACCTGCAGTTGATGAATGCTCTCCCTGGCAGTCTCCAGCTCATGACTGAGGTTAGTCTTCAAAGCCACTGCCTGGTACAACTGCTTACTCAATGTGCTACACTGCACATATGGAAATAAAGCATAGTCACTTAAATACCTATGAATGTAAACTCTACCTGGGATACTAGGAATATTAGCTTTCCATTTGAATGCTGAAGCTATAAGTACAAAGGATAACAATAACAACAACAACAACAACAATAATAACAATAATAATAATAATAATAATAATAATAATAATAATAATAATAATAATAATTAATGGTAATGAATTAATAATAATAATGTACATGTATGTACCTCAGAATTTAGTTGAGAGATGCGGGTAGTGAAATGCTTTCTTAATTCAGGATCCATAGATCCTTCCTGTTAAATAAAAGCACACACAAGGAATTACATTGTAATTATAGTTGTAATAAACAGCTACAGAGCTAGCAATCAGTGGCACACACATACGTGTATATGTACACATTATCAGTAACAGTGACATACATACGTACATGTACATGTCTAGAAATCTAGCAGAGCACATTACATTAAATTAAAAATCAGGGTCCTATAGTCTACTTATATTCTGAGATATATACTATAATAATAATGATAGTGCTTATCATACTTGTGGATATTCACACTTTGTCCTGTATTGCTAATTCCGTCAAACACAGTCTTTAGAATATTACAATTTCTTTCAACCAGTGACATCATCTACCAAACATAAAAGAGGAATACTGGTAATTACATCACTATTGTCACTATAGGCTTACCTGCTTTAGTTTCTTGATTGAAAAAGTCGGAGAAACAATGCGTCTCACTCGCTTCCATTCCTCATCTTTTTCAAAAACCAAACCAGATCCTAATTTGATATTTTTCCGCACTTGATTCATGACGTCAGGCTCTTTCTAAAAATATACACACAGTTTTAAATATGCATAATTATAAAGT